CAGGACTTATTGATATCATTCACTTCATCACAGTTAAACATTGTTTTTTGTATAACATTTAATTCACTTGGTCTATTAAACAAACTAATATTTAACAAGAAGTAATGAACCTTAATATTAGTTATAGTTATTTATTGTCCTGCATACATTTCATGACGGTAGCAGGAGCTGTTATGTTATTCAGCAAGACTGCATGGGAAAAAAATGAAATTAAAAATTCCAGCAGAAACAGGAGAAGACACCGCTGTGGCTATGGGTGTAACAATGTAACCAGCTCCCGGTTCGGTTCGGTATACGTATGGTACAGGGCTTATTGTTACATGATAGAATTGTGATAAAAGTGAGAAAACCTAGTGTCACAGATGTTTATTTCCTCTTAGGTATGTAAATTCACAAAAACAGTTTTCAAAACCTGTTTCATATTCAAACATTTCTCTTAATTTGTAGAATAGAGAGTGAATAATGCAGTGAGTGGCCAATGGTTAGTCCGGGTCAACAGGTCTGTCAAGAAAGCAGATTTGGTCTATTGCCTCCTCTTGTTAGCATAAATAGAATTGCATGAGAGTATTGACTTGATAGTGCGAACCATTTTTCTGTTTCATGATGCATATTGTCACATTTTTGAATCATGATACAGTATATTGGTCCACAAGGCTTTGTTACATCCTTAGTTGCGACAATATTAGCCAAAAACAACTTTTTACTCCTGTGAAATTAGAGGTCTTTGACTTGATTATTGGTATAAACAAAAAACATCTAACAGGCCTGCTTAATTAGTAAACAATATATATGCTGGAATGCTGGAAATATATACATACACACACACACACACACACACACACACACACACACAGTATATCCTGTCAGGCATCATAGCGGCTAAGATGAGCAGGCACATGGCTCAATACATGAGCAGCACCCAGAAAGGAATTGGTAGCAACACCAGAGGAGCCAAGCACCAGCTACTGGTTGATAAAGTAGTCACTTGAGACTGCAAGACCAGGCATACCAACCTGTGCACTGCCTGGATTGACTACAAGAAAGCCTATGACTCAATGCCTCACACATGGATCCTGGAATGCTTGGAACTGTACAACATC